ATTATTATTATTATTATTATTATTATTATTATTATTATTATTATTATTATTATTATTATTATTATTATTATTATTGGGTGTTTTATTTTCTTTTTGCAGCAGCTTGCTTTTTGCTGTAGGTTTGACTGAGACTGTAGAGCCACGTCTGCTCTTTGGTTTGGCGAACCTGCTCATACCTTTTTTAGGAGGTGGTCCTTTTTTCTGAATCCTCAACACTTCTGCCTCGGAAACGGGCCTGTAATTTTTTCCTTTACGATGCAGCTGCCCGGTACCCAATCCATCTTTGGTCTTGGCATCCGGCGCAGCCAACGTATGCCAAGCCGAGATTCTGACATCGACTGAAGCAGCTGTCGTCGTAGTATTTTGTGATTGTGGAATCACTGGTTGGGAACTACTATTAATAGGTTTTTGAACCTGATTAGGTGGTTGGTTGTAGATTGGTTGACCAGCAGCTGGAGGAGGGTGTGGTGAAGGTGGTTGTTGTGGCTGTGGTTGATATATATTATTATTAGGTGTAGTATTATTATTATATATCCCTTCCCTTGTTCCTCCTGTTGGTTGTTGTCCTTCTGGTTGTATCCACTTTTGGATATGAGATATGCTATTTCGTTTTGCTAGTGATGATGGTTGATTTGCATTATTATTATTGTTCATAGGATCGTAATTATCAGCCTTACCACCACCTACATTATTATTAGTGTTATTATTATTACTACGACCAGAACCAGCACTACTATTATTATTCTGCTTTTGTTGTGATGGTTGTTGATTCACAACAGGTCGTTTTCCGTCACCAGCATTATTATTCTTGGATTGTTTTGACGCCTGCACAGAAGACCAGTTTGCTCCAAGGATTCCGCTTTGGTTCGTGACAGCAATGGCATTAAACGCACTAATGACCGAATCTATACCCATACTTGAACCTTTTTTTTTGTTACTGTGATTTTGCATGACTAGAGTAGTGTAGATGTCCGTTTGATGAAAATTATAGATTTCGTGATGCGGTGCAAAAACAAAGTTGTGTTTGCTTCATCTTTTTATCCATATTTAATCCTCGTGCACTATATCAAATGTAGCATCATCATCAATGCAATGCTCCATTAAGGGTTACAATGTATAGGACTGTTTAACGTTAAATAGAAATTTAATGCCAAAAAAGGAAGTTGTATTTTTAAAGAGTTCATATAATACTATAAATTAGTATCAATTTATAACTTGAGAATACAACAATGGTCCCACCATCTGCGTGATAACTGATCTCACATGTCGCACTTCGCTCCTTAACAGAAATCTTACACTTCCTTTAAAGTAATAAATTTGATTTAAGGAACATATTGGTTTAGTGAAGGAGGTATAGTTATTATCGATTGTATCAGTCAGAATCATTCAATAATGTTGTTTCGATTAGGGAAGTGACTTTTATCAGCGGACAGAGGTTATAATATGTCAGCTCGATTGGGTTATAATCAAGGCGGTAATGGTTCGAGTAATGAGGAAGGGAGTGAATGTTTTCTTGGGTTTGTGGTCGCCGTCACCACTACCGATCAACGGTAACACAATGTTAAAGATTGATTTTAAAGGTTAGGATTAGGGTTAGGTTTGAGGTTAAGATTATATGTCTTTTGTAAGTGCTTCAAACTAGATTTAAGCATGCGTTTTCACATTCTTCATTTTCCTTATGTCGAACTGATCTAAAATTTATTGGTTTGAACTACCCGGCATTTTATTAAACTTGTCCCAGATTCATGACTATCTGTTAAGGATTTTCATTGATCAACACGTATGGTGTCACAGCACCAACACCAACATTGTAAACTAGTTAACTAAATCATCATACACATGAGTGATTTTTATTTGAGATGTCGGAGTGGAGGTAAGTTTGGGGATTTTCATTGTATTCCAATTAGCGTTGTGTGTCTCGTTTACCATCCTCTATTTCATAAGAAACAGAGTGTCAGTAGGTTGCATTTTACGAGCCAAAGAAAAAATTTACCTGTGCGTCTACATGTGAGTTTACTTTTGACCCCATCTCGTTCTTTACCGACCTATTCATAGAGATAGGAATGGAAGCGTGTTGAGCGAACTACGCAAAAACAAAGAGGAATGAAAGTAGAATACCAAATAAGTGAGATAAACCAAGCAGTGCCAGCAACAGCACCAGTAACAGCACTGCCCAATACATAAGCAAAGATCAGGAATTGCCGGTTTTGTGTGCGGGTCTCGTTTATAATCTTTTGTTCTGATTGTTGAACCGATCGTTATCCATCATATATAGGGTATAGAGCGTAAGTTGATCCCCTGCGTGCAAAAGTGAAATAAATAATAAATGTAACACTGAGCCAACACGTTGTATTGTAACTAGTGGCAAATATAGAAGATACGAATAACCTGAGTGCTCAGTACCTTGATCTTGAAGGAGTTGAGTTATGTGCGGATACCCGTCTATAATCTTTTGTTCTGATTTTTGAAGGGGTTGAGAGGGTGAGTGTTGTTTAGTTGAGCGCTTCATGGAAAAGGCGTCTTTGGATTGCTCTTTGTATAACGTAGTAATTGTGGGAATGCGGGGAAGTGTCTATCAATAGAGGTTAATGATCTTAGCCACAATCAAACCAGAAAAGGCAATTTTGATGAAATAATTTTTATTGGTTGATCAGAAGTAAAATGAACTGCTTTTGATGTTCAAAAATTTAATTAGATGCAAAATTAATCATGTGACTCAACGCAGAGGCAAAATTTTCAAAATCTGACCGGTAACTTTGTTCTTTATAATAAGTTCTACAAAGTTACCGGTCAGATTTTGAAAATTTGCCTCT